CTGAAGCTATCAGGATTGTACATTTTATTTATTTAGACAGGATCTCGTGTTTCCTAAACTAGCCTCGAACTCCCTGTGCAGCTGAGGCCGATCTTGATTTATGCTCTCCTCCTGAGTGCAGGAATTGCATTCCTGCACCACCACACCCTGTTCATGTGGTGCTGGGGATTGAACCCACGGTTTCAGGCATGTTGAGCAAGCACTCTACAACCAAGCGACATCTCCAGCCCCCAGGAGTATATATTTTCAATAGGTTGATTTGATATTATGTGAATTGTACCTCACAGAGGTGTTAAAAGACCATGAGCGTAAGTCAAGAAAAGGTTTCTTTGATATAACAAAAATATGAGTCATTACAATTACCTATAGGATTTCACCAAAAGAAACCAAAACAAAATGGTCCATCCTACATTATTTTCACTTCCTACAGGAAACACTACAAGAAAAAAGCCAACCACATCAGGGATTGCCAGGGGCTGAGGGGCTATCAAGGGCTATGGTGAAGTTTGGGGAGAACGGTGGAATTCAATTACAGTAGCAGATACAAAGCTCTCAGGACTATACATTGAAGAGAGTGAATTTTGCTAAATTTTTAAGTGGGAAAAACAAATGTAAAGACAAATGGGGGGGTGCTGGAGAGGTGGCTCAGAGGTTAAGAGCACTGGCTGTTCTTCCAGAGGCCCCAAATTCAATCCCCAGCAACCACATGGTGGCTCACAACCATCTATAATGAGATCTGGTGCCCTCTTCTGGCATGTAGACAGAACACTGTATGTGTAATAAATAAATAAATCTTTAAAAAAAAAGAAAGAAAGAAAGAAAAAATGGGGGCTGGAGAGATGATCATTTTCTTTTATTAAAAAAAATGAAGCTAGAGGGCTAGAGAGATGGCTCAGCTGAGGACCTGGGTTCCGTTCCCAGCATCCATGTGGCAGCTCACAACCATCTGTAATTCCAGTTCCAGGGGATCCAACACCATCTTCTTTCTGCCCTCTACAGGCACCAGGCACACATGTGGTGTGCATACATCCATGCAGACAAAACATTCATAGATATCAAATAAAAATCTTTAAAAATTAAAAAACTGAACCTAGGGAGAATATTTATTTATTAATTTATTTGTTTTTGAGACAGGGTCTCACTATGTAGCCCTGGCTGGCATCTGGGTCTCACAGTGTAGATCAGGCTGGCCTGAGACGCACAGAGATTGGATTGCCTTTGCTGAGATTAACTGTATGCATCATTACACTTGGCAAAAAATCTTTATCATTTAAAGCACAAGATCATTCTTGTCAACATAGAGAGTTTAGGTCCTGGGGTAAATGAAATCTTGTCTCAAAACAGTGAGAGTAAAAAATAACGACACCATTGTAATAAAAACATAATTTATTTAACCAGATAGTAGTAGATACTGTAGTTACCTGCTCTTAGTAAGTGGCCATTCTTCCTCTTTGTTCATTGAATTGAATTTTACAAAGCTAACTTTCTCTCGGGGTAACCTCATCAGAGAGAGAGAGAGAGAGAGAGAGAGAGAGAGAGAGAGAGAGAGAGAGAGAGAGAGAGAGGGAGGGAGAGAGTCAGAGGATACCTTGCTAGACTCAGTTTTTTCCTCCCACCATGTGACTCTGAGAATGGAACTCTGGTCCTCAGTCTCATCAACAATCTCCTTTACCTGCCAAGTCATCTTGCCAGTGGACTTGGTTGGCTTGGGAGTGCAGTTTAAGGGTACAGCCATCTTGTTGGGGGAAGTCAAGGCACTGAGATCGAAGCAATGGGAAAGCGGTCATGAGTGAGTCAGGCAACTAGCTTTGTAGAAGGTTCAGCATCAGGTGCTGCTCTTCCCAGGAACAACTTCTGTTCACAGCACTGAATGCAATCCCCCCCCCCCCCGAAAGATAGTATCTCAGTGTCCCCTTTGAACACCACATCAGAACCCTTACAGGACAAGCATGTCTCATTCTTTTACCCATAGCGTCCAGGGCCATGCCTAGCAAGGAGGTTGTAAGAACTAATGAATGAATAAGTTAAAAGATGTGTGAAGTTTGAAGTGAGCAAAGCTAAAACTCCTTTGGTCTGGGATTTGGGAGTTCAAGTTTACGTTAAGACTGTAGCTGTGCAAATCGGGGGACTTTTTGTTCGTGGGGGTGGGGGGTGGACTAAACAAGTAGCGGGAACACATACAGTCATGGGGTTACACATCTGTTGACATCAGCAGTCTTACGATTCCTCGGGGACTGGGGGAAGGGTGGAGTCTTGGGCCAGATGCTGGGTCATTTCAACTAGAGCCGGTGGCTGTGGAAGAGAGATATGGCTGGGGAAAGGAAGTGGGGGGACAGGACTGTGCTCCGAGGATGTCTAAGCGGGCAGAACAAGGGGAAGGAGGGGCCCTGAGGGCAGGGTAATCCGAGAGGAGATGGGGGGAGGGAGGTTTACTGTATTTCTAGAAGTCTGGGAGCCTGGGAGGAGTGGAGGGCCAGAGAGAGCTGGTGGGGAGTTGGAGACCGACCGCAGGAGGAAAAGGACAGAGCCAGGGAAATGTGTGGACAGGGAAATGGAGAGGCCTGTGTGAATGTGAGTTTTAAAATTTGCATATTTTCCCCATGACAAAAATAAGCCGCACGTGAGCCTGTGAGAGGTTATTTGCAACAGTGAGCAGGACCCAGCCGTGTGAGCAGCCGGGAGCTGGAGGGTCAGGATGAACGAAGGAATGCAACTCACCAGACGTAAGACCTTCCTTGTGAAGGAGGGTCAAGGCCTGCCAGAGAACACCAGCTCCCGAACCCCTGAACCCAGAAGATCCCATAAAGTCTGTACGGAATGTCCCAGAAGCCTCCCCTCCAGTTCCCTGGGTGGACCAGGCCCCTTGGATGAGGAGATGCCCCGGATGGATCGGGTTTTCTGTAGAGAATCACAGAGGTTGTGGGTCTCGAGCTTCCCCAGGCCCGGGGGCCCCAGGGTGGAACAGCCACACCTGCCTGAAGTTCTGAGGAAGAGGGCGGAAACAACCAGCGCCCGCCCTCACTCGCTCTCCCCACACTTGTGATAGGCTCTGCTGGGGCACTGTGTGCCACACAGCCTCACTTCCCGAAAGAGGCAACTGTATGTTTTAGACCCTGACATCCCTCCTGGTAGACCCAAGTGACATGCCTGGGGTCAGTGTGGGTCCTAGATTCCCTGGGTGACTGACTGTTCATCTGGATGGAGCCATGGCCTCTCATGTTGCTGCTGCTGTGCCTACAGGATTGTGTCTCAGGTGAGAGGTGGGGGCTGAGAAGAGAAAGACCACTTCCTCCTGTCTGGTCCCCCCCCCCCCCCCATTGCCTTTTTCTTGCTCCACTGTCTTCATGTTTTGTGGGTTGGGGAAGGAGACTGGGCTGACTTGGTGGGTCTTTACCAGGGACCAGTGAGAAGGTCCCATGCTAATATCTGGCCCCAGGCAGAGCCTCACCAGGCCTCACACAGAGGGTGTAGCTGTGTCCTCTATATTGGCCTTTATCTGCTGGGTTTCCTTGGTATGGAGAATTTCCTCACAGAAATTGCCCGTTTGCCCTTTGTCTGTCGAGAGAGTTCTGACTGGTGCTGTTGTGAGTTCTTGTAGCATGTCTGCACACTTTGAAGTCCCTTTTTCTCGGAATGCTGATGCCATATCCGGTCCCTCTGCTCTGACCTGAAGGGAACCAATCCCCAAAGGCCTTTCCCTACTCAGGGCTACTCTCTGCAGGAGGCTCACCCATTCCTGCCTTCCTGGCTGCCAAGGCAACCACTTACCACTTCCTTTTCTGTCCTGGGTGTGGTGAGTGTTGGCAAACCCACTCCTCACTGTTGGACAAAGTGAAGGCACCAGTGAACCCAGGACCCCTCGAGGCTTCCTCCAGGTGGCCCCACCTCTGTTGCTCAGCAGGCAGGGAGAAGGTTGTTCTCAAAACACCGCTCAGCAGAGGTGAATAGGAGAGGCCCGCTCTGTTCTGTTGTTGACTTTGCAAGGGAAGAAGACTCTCAGAGCTTCTGCTAAGGTGACAAGTGGCTTCGGGGGTCTTGTGTGTAGCTGCTCTCTCCCTCTGTCCCCCGAATCATCCTGCTACCTCTGTCTCTAATTTCTTCAACAGATTGGATTATGAAGGACACAGACCGCTTTCATGTATTCATTTGTATTCATTCTTTCTCTCTCCCTCGTGTGTGTGTGTGTGTGTGTGTGTGTGTGTGTGTGTGTGTGTGTGTGTGTTAAACACACATGTGCAGACCCGGCCATCCTCTTGCCCTGCCCCCCAGCCCATCGCTGGGTCCAGGTGCTAGGCATTTTTCAAGAGTCTTGGGATTTGAACTCAGGCTCTCATTCATGCTCAGCAGTCTCACTCATGAACTCTCTCCCCAGCCCTCTTTTCCAGCCCTCTTTTCTCTTTAGAGACAGGCTTTTGTTTCCCGGCTAGCCTGAACTCACTAGGTGTCCCAGGTTAGCCTTAAACTCTGTATCTTCTTCCCTCATGCTGTTAACGGGTTTGTGTCACATCTCATGAGTACAGAGGCCAGATGCTCTACCAGGCATGTCTAGCCTATGGTCTGCAGACCCAAGCACCCTGGGAAAGCTAGGACTTGCCTAATACAATTACAGATGACAAAGTCAAGTTGCCATGTCAAAACATTTGATGAAGAGTGTGGATAACGTGGATTCCATCAGCCGGCTCATCAGTGGGGACCGGGCTCAAGTGTATGGTGGCAGGCTTTATCTACGGGTTTTATGAAACTGGAATATTTAAAAATTAAGCACCATGGAGAGTGCTATTTGAAAGGTATTCAAACAGAGGGTAGAGGCGTGGCTCAGTAGTGCTTGCCTGACATGTTTGAGGCACTGGGTGTGATCCCCATCATGACATACAAAACCAAGAGGAGAGAGTGGAGAGGGAAGAGAGAAAGAGGAGGCGGAAGCATTATTACTAGGAGAAATAACTCTTCATCATTTTCCTAGATACTGGACCTTTTCATCACATCAGTAGTTTGGGCTCTCAAGTCCAGAGCTAGACCTGTTTGTGTCTGCATATCTGTCTCAGGCAGAGCCTGGGTCTGTTCCGAATTACTGGGCATCGCTGAAGACCAGATGATATCCAGAGGAAGAGACTGTATCTGGTGGAACGCTCCTGTAGGGTTGTTTCCTCACTGAACTGAGGTCTCCTCCATCAGACTGGCAGCCAGTTGTTAGTGGGGCGTGCCTCGTCAGACTCCCTGAGGGCGGGGCTGCGCTTCGCCTCATGCTGATCTCCGTGAAAGCCAGGGCTGCATCCTCCTCTCCCCTTGCCTCCAGCTGCCAGTTTCAAGATGGCTTCTTCTTCCTCTCCAGACCTTGCTCAGCAAGTCCTATCTCCCCAGGTCTCTCCATTGAGAACGTGTACCGGAAAGTGCGGCAGCGTGAAGGGGAGTCTCTGTCGGTGCAGTGCTCCTACAAGAACCTCCGGAACCGTGTGGAGGGCAAGGCTTGGTGCAAAGTGAAGAAGAAGAAGTGTGAGCTGAACTTCACCCGGGGCTGGGTGAAGGGGCCCAGCTACTCAATAAGGGATGATGCCAAGGCCAAGGTGGTCTACATCACCATGGAGGCCCTCAGGGTCCAGGACTCCGGACGGTACTGGTGCATGCGTAACACGGCTGGGAATCTCTACCCCTTGGTGGGTTTCCAGCTGGAAGTACATCCAGGTGAGCAGACCTACTACCCAGAGCTGGCATGGGTGGGATAGTATAATAATGGTTCTTCACTATGGACATCTTCCTATCACCATTTTCCAAAGAAAGTGAGTTTTATCAAACTTTGTGTGGCTCTGGCCTTGTCCTTGTGCAGAGGAGAGACTGGGACTCAGGACCATGCTTTGTTTTATTTAGTTATCTGAACAACATAGGCTCACCCAGCTGGGGATGTGCCCGGCTCTGTTACAGGCTTGGAGAATATAACCAGCGACAGTCCTGCCCTGTGGGGATGCCAGACAGTAACACTTCATCCAGACAGATCACTGCATAGCACGATGCATGTGCCTAGACAGCAGTGGTGAACTAGTTACTCAGTGTCAGGGGCCCCGGGTGAGGAGAGCTCTCTCTCATGCTTGGAAGGGCATCTGTAGGGAGAGACTGATGAGCATAGGCACTGAGGTGAGATTCAGTAAGGTCTGCAAAAGGATTGGTGTAGCTGGTCCACTCTAAGTGTGGGGGAGAGGGCTAGGAGAAAAGGAACAGTAAGTTTTATAGTAATCGGTTGCACTTATTTGCTTGTTTATTTGGGGGCAGGGTCTCACTATGTAGCCTTGGCTGGCCTGGAACTCACAGAGATCCCCCTGCCTCTGCCTCCTGAGTGCTAGAATTAAAGGTGTGCACTACTACACCAGGCTAATGTAATGCTTTTATTTCAGTTTGGAGAGTCATGTGGTTCTGAATTCCATGATACAGAGCGGTGTCTAGTTCTAACTGCAACAGGAAGAGAAATGTGTTGTATCTTTCTTCGCTCCCCCACTTTGTGGATGTGTGTGTAGATGTATGTGGGGGGTACTGTGTACATGTGGAGGCCAGAGGTCAAGCTCAGGTGTCACTCCTTAGGAGCTGTCCACCTTGGTTTTGAAACAGGATTTCTCACCGCCCTGGAGCACGACAGATGGGCTACGATAGCTCCCTGATGCCCAGATTAAAAGCACATACCAGTGTGCCCAGGTCCTCATGCTTTCAAGGCAAGCACTTGACCAAGTGAGCCATGTCTTCAGCCCCTTCTCTGTAAGGCAGCCATCACTGCTTACAGACAGTGGGAGAGTGTGAGAGGAGGCAATGAGACCAAGCTGGATGCCGGACTGGAAACAGCAGTGGCTTGAACAAGTGGGATTTGGACACTTAACAAGGACTGTGGAGGCCCAGCCCCTCGATAGTCCCCTCCCAGGGTCCAGGAAGAATCTACAACCAGCTGATAATTTGATCTTTGATGAAAAGAAAGGAATCTACATACATGAAACTCTTTAGTTTGTACATTTTATTATTCTGAGTAATTCTCTCTCTACACAGCTTCTATTCTGCTCTCATGCCTAGCTTCTTTCTTGCCTGATTTGTCTCTACATATATTTGCTGTCCCCTCTCAGTTCTATCTTAATTCCTTCATCTTGGTTCTGCCCCATCTAGGTTCTCATCCATCTCGTTCCTTCCCATTTCAGCTCCTCTCCATCTCCTTCTCTCTCCTCTTGTTCTTCCCCATCTGACTCTTCCTCATCTTCCATCTTGTTCCTCTGGTATTCTCTTCTAGCCCTTCAATCTAGTTCTTTCCCATCCAGTCTGTTCCTCTCCAGTCTTACCCATCTAGTTCTTCTGTTCTCTTGTCTCTTCTCTGTCTCACCCTCAAGTTCTCTCTTCAAAAATCCTCCTCTCTGTCTCCTTATACCTCAGTTCCCTCAAGTCTCTGAGGTGCTCAGTTATAAAACACAAGCAATAGCAATCCTCTGGCAGAGCAAGGTCACCAGGCTTGAATTCTTACAGAGTCATAAAGGCAAATAAGAGTTTTCCTCAGGCAGTGACCACCAGGCTTTCTTTTACAACTCAAAAAGGGAGTGGTAAAGGAGGAGGTCAACTGAGAGCTAATGATCAGTTAGTGTATCAAGAAGGGGATCTATGTGCTTAGTCTCTGCTTTTTTAGACTTTCTGTATATTTTGGAGTGAGGGCAGATTTGCCCGAGGGGGAGAATGGAAAAGAATGTTGATTCCTCAGTAGCTGGGAGATGGTAGCATTTATGGAGTTAGGGAACCCCCAAAGAGAGCTCATCTGGATGGAAATCAAGAGCCCTGTTGACTCATGTGAGGGCACATTCTGGGATCCAGGTAGAGAGATGAAGCAGGCAGCTGAAGTGTTAGTGACAGGGCACTGGGGTGCGCACTTGAAAGTGTCTCTATGAAGATAGTCACGGGCATTTAAAGGTCACTGCCTAGGGCTGGAGAGGAGCACTAAAGGATAAGGGGTGTCTTCAGCACATTTCAGTAAAACTGTGCATCATAAATGAAGAGAAAAATGAAGAGAAAAATCTCTCTCTCGTGTACAGAAAGAAGAGAGAAGAGTCTGAGCAGAGATGTGGGGTCCCTACATTTACAGAACAGGAAAGGGTGAGGATCCAGCAAGTGTCAGGGGAAAGTCACCAGTTATTATAAATTCACCAGCCACCTGCCGGGTCCTTCTCCCCTGACCTGAGCACATCTCCATCCTCCCTGGTGTGAACCAGGAAGAGTTTTCCCTCACCTGCGAGGCTGGGTCTCATTACTTTGCTCTGGTCCATGTCAACCCTAGAAGAAGGGAAAACTGACTCTGGGGTCTTCATTTGGAGGAATGCCATCACAAAATGGACTTACATTTCTGTCATCACTTCTCTTATCATTGTGTGTGTGCGTGTATATGTGTGCGAGTGCGTGTGCGTGCGTGCGTGCGTGTGTGTGTGTGTGTGTGTGTGTGTGTGTGTGTGTGTGTGTGTGTAAGCCAGTGAACAACCTTAGGTATGATTCCTAGGTACCATCCATCACTCTTTTATTTTCTTTGAGACAGGGTCTGTCACTAACCTGGAACTTGCCCGGTAGGTTAGACTATCTGGCCGGTGACCCCAGGGATTCTCCTGCCTCTGCCTCACCTGCACTGGGGTTGTAAGCATGTGCACCATGCTTGGGTTCTGGGGGTTGAACTCATGTTTGCATGGCAAGCACATACTGACTGAGCTGTCCCTCCAGATCTTCATTTTCTGCTTCAGAGGGGTAATCATGGGGAGCTTCAACTTTGCTCATGTTTTCAGTTGAGAGGAAAAATCCCCTGCCAATGACCATGTGGCTCAGTGGGAAAAGACACGTGATGCAAAACCTGATGATCTGAGCTCGATCTCTGGGACCAGGTAGTAGGAGAGAGCTGACTCCTGTAAGTTGTCCATTGATCTCCATTTTCATACCAGGTGCCCACCCCAAAATAAGGAAAATGTTTTTTAAAAAGTATCTAAGCCTCAGCCCAATTACAACTCGAATAGCAGTACGTGCACCACCCCAGCAACCAGGCCTTGTAGCCCAGGGCAACTGAGGCAGGGAAGCAGCTGCTCTCCTGCACAGCTCTTCATCTTTGGAGGTGGGATGGTTTCCTCTTGGTCTGTTTATTGATGCTTCCTCCCGCACGCACTGCTGTGCTGAGTAGGAATGAGGAAAGGCACGAGAGGCGTGACTCAGCGGGCAGGTGTGGGAGCCCCGCTACTGGCTGAGTCCTTTCCTGCCAGTGCTTTGAGAATCTCTCGTGTGCATGCCCAGCTCTTGCTCCATCAAGGCTCCCCCTGTTATTGGGGTGTCCTAAGGGGGGTCTAAGCCATAAGGTGGCCTCTGCCTGCATCTTGCCCTCCCCTACATTGATTTTCAGAGTTCGTTGCTGTGAACAGCGGCTCAGGCCTCCCTGCACAGTGACCACTGGCCTCAGGAATGTGTCTTTTCTATGCCTAGTAGAGGGGTGGGAAGTCTTTCTCTGTCTTTCCTGCGGAGACGGACCTGTGGCTCCCCACAAGACTCAGAGCTCTTGATTGCAGTTCCCACATGCTGTCCAGCCCCAGGCTGCTGCTGCTGGTGCTAAAGCCTTGGAATGATGGTGTGGGGGGCAGGAACTGCTCCTGTGTGTCTTAGTGAACCCCGAGGAGGGTGTCTGACCATAGCTCTTCCTTGTAGTTTCCTCTTGAATTTGGGACCCTAGTGCCTCTCTGTCCCAATTCTGGTCCCCAGCTGACATTATTAAGCAGCTGCCTTTTTACAGCATCATATTATAGAAATATCTCTTAAACTCAAAGGGGGCTTGAGATGGCTCAAATGGGTAACAGCACTTGCTATCAAGCCCGATGACCCAGGTTCAAATCCCAGGACCCATCTGATGAAATGCCAGAACTGACTCCTGCAAGCTGTCCCCGAACCTCCCCGTGTGTACTGTGCACACACACAAACACACACACTTACACACTAAATCAATGTCATTTGAAAAGGCAATCTCTTTGATGCTCTTGATTGAGAAGAGCCTGGAAAGTGACTGGGGGCTAGGAAGGAAGATGGCTCTGTGCTCTGGGATCAGGCCTGATAGGGGAGGCTGAAGAGATTGTCCCAGGGTCTCCCTTGCTCACGTGTCTACTTCCTCCTTCCTGTCACTCTCTGAAAGAACGCACACCTGACACTCAGAGGCCAAGCCCAAACTCACAGGCGGGTTCTCCCCAGTGTCCGCACAGCTGAGGGTCTATGAATTCTGTCCCTGGCACTCAAGTCTCTGGCTTCATCTAATTCTTCTTCCTCTCTGGTCCCTCAGCCCTCACAACTGAGAGAAACACTCCTCCCACGCATCTAACCAACACCTTGGAGAGTGGATTTGTCACAACGGGCCAGGTCCCCATTTCAGGCCCTCACAACCCTGTCACCTCTGACGTGACTGTGTTCACATCTGGACTCCTCACCTTGGCCTCAGGGACCATCGCACCAACCCCTGTGACAAGCTACAGTGTCACCGATACCAGTGGCGCCCTCACAGAGCCCGGGAGGAGCACAAAGTCCCGGCCAGTGACCGTGTCTCCTAGCAATGCGAGACCCTTCTCTGCTGACCCAGTGACCACCTCCACCGTGTCCAGACACCTGAGCAGCGGCTTGTCCACCACGGGGATGTGGCACCAGTTACCCCCCAACAGGTTATGTGATACTTTATCAGGAGTGGCCTCAGCTTTCAGAGCCCAACAAATCTCAAGAGGCCACTCTTGCATCCAACACTTCCTATTGCCCCCCAAGAACTCAGTGAGGATCACTGCTGTTCAGCAGTGAATTGTGGGAAATGGGGAGGGTCACAACAGAAGGCAATGGGGATGAGGGTCAAGACTGTGGATGGAGAGGAGAGGGGAGGGCCAGGGCAAGGGGTTGGGAAGTGGGAAGTGTGGATGCTCTCTTTGGGTTCCCCCAGACCCTGAGGTGAGGACCAGCATTTTACCCAGCACACTGGGAAGAGGCAGGAAGTGGGACAGAGATTGGAAGTCCGCTGGCAAACCGTGCCTGAGGCAGCCTCTGCTGTGCACACGAGAGCGCCATCCCACTGGGCAACTTGAGTCAGATGCCCGCTCAAGGTCAAGGGATCTAGGACAGGGATATGTCACCTCCCGCTCTCCATCGGCATGGGAGCATGAAGGACTTCAGCACAAAGGACAATGCAGACCCGGGGGTCACATGGAGGGGGTGACACATGGAGGGGGGTCACATGGAGGGTGTCACATGGAGGGGGGTCACATAGAGGGGGTCACATGGAGGGGGTCACATGGAGGGAGTCACAAGGAGGGCGGTCACATGGAGGGGGGTCACCTGGAGGGGGGTCACATGGAGGGCGGTCACATGGAGAGGGTCACATGGAGGGGGTGCTCCCGATACAGAAGACAGAGGGGGCAAGAGGCGTCCTCAGTCACTGTGGAGGAAACAGTCTTGATCTCTTCAGCCCCAGTGGCCATTCTGTGGGACTCTTGTCTTCACTGATGAAGGATGTGAGGATACTGGAGGAGAGGTATCAAGTGCGGATGTTCCTCCTGCCTGGTGACATACTTCCTGGGACTCTGGTGTCTCCTTTCTCGTCCCACATCTGAGAGAGAGACAGAGACAGAGAGACAGACACACACACACACAGAGACAGACACACACACACAGAGACAGAGACAGACAGAGGGGGAGAGAAAGAGAGAGAGCGAGCGAGCATCTCCCTGTAGAGTGTGCTGTGAGGATGCCTGCTGGTTCTTACTCTTCTGCTGTCCTGCCTCCTCAGGTCCCAGGAGACTTACCTCACTGCGATGGTGGTGGTGCTGACATTCCTTCTTACGCCTGTGGTGTTGGTAATGGGCTATGGGTTTTGGAAGAAGAGGCACATGGGAAGTAAGTAGAGTCACCCCTGGCTCCCAGGACCGAGATCTGGTCCCTACTCTAAGGACTGTGACACAGAGTCTTGGCTGGGGAATATCCCTCTCTGTTTCCAGTCAAGATGACCAGTGACACCCAGTGAGGAGGAGGGTGGCCAGTTGTGGGTGGCCCCACATGTCCCTTAAGGGGATGAAGGAACAACACAGAGTCCGGAGGGTCAAAGATCACCCAGGGGCATTGGGGCACCGAGTGCAGGGCATGGCCCTTCTTCACCTCTCTGTTTGTCGTAGGCTACAACTTGGGCAGCAACTCGGCTAAACCCTGGATACACCTTCCTGAAGGACCAGAGACGCTGTGGAAGCCTGCTTGGTCTAAGATAGCTCAGTGATCTGGGAAGCCGATTCCAGTGGGTTCAGAGGCCAGAAGAGGACCGAAGACAGGCAGTGACCCTGGGGCAGGAGGATGCACAGCTGCCTTCCTTTCACCACGACCACTGTGTTCTCAGCTTCCCTCTGTTCCCTACAAACTTCTCCAGATGTTTGGAGACAGGAGCCAGGACTCATGAGCCCTCGAGGCAGCCAATGTCTCTAGAGTCCTGTTCTGGATGAGAAGGGACAGTGACTAAGGCCTGGGGACACAAAGGCATTGGTAGTAGGAGGTCTCAGAGCTGACCAAGGCCACGTGTCTTCTGATGTGCCCTGACTGTGGCTGCTGGCCCTTCTGTCCCGGAAGCCTGCAGATCCCACATGTCACTTGGTTCCTGCCTGCCAGCCCCTCTCAGGCCAGCGAGAGCCTTCAGCTACAGCAACAGCCTTTCCCAAGATGGCTGCAAAGGCTGAATGTGGACTCCTCCACTCCAGTTCTGGCTCCCATGCTACAGTGATGAACTCATGGAGGAGACTGAGGGCACAGACTATGCCTTGGGGTGTCTGTAGCCCCATTAAGAGGGCCCCTCCTCCAGACAGTGGGGTTGGCCATGGAGCATTCAAGATCACTTCTGAGAAAAGGCCACATGGAGCTGCCCTGCTGAAAACAGCAGTAGATGGAGGGTTGGTCTAGAGAATTGATACCAGATTCTAGGATGGAAAGATGGGGAGACACATGGACATGCAGATATGGGGAGATACACACACACACACACACACACACACACACACACACACACACACACACAGGGAGAGCGAGAGAGAGAGACATACAGGCAGAGGAACAGACAGACAGAGACAGACAGAGAGAAAAGGAGAGAGAAATCTGCCTCTGGGCAGCAAAGAACCTGCTATGAGCCACCCTCCTCGTTGAGCAACAGGACCACTTCTCCAGGCAGGGGTGGAGCCCCTGGGGTCCAATGGCCTACTGACTCTGTCTCCTTCCTATACACAGCTCAGACTTGACCACTCTATCTAGATCATTGGTCCAGAGTGGAACAGGGATGACTGTGGGCTAAGGGCTGTGAGCCATGGGCTATGGGCTGTGGACTGTGAGCTACAGGCTGTGGACTGTGGGCTGTGGACTGTGGGCCATGGGTTGTGGACTCCAGGCTATAGGCTGTGGACTGTGGGCTGTGGACTGTGGACTGTGGGCTGTGGACTGTGGACTATGGGCTGTGGACTGTGGACTGTGGACTGAACTGTCTCACTAGTAGGGATGCACACTAGCCCATGGAGGCTTGAAAGGTCCCTGAGCCAAACGCAGCATCTACACCCTCAGCCCTGAGTCAGGGGCCCTAATGGGACAACAAACGTCACAGTCAGGAGGGTAACACAGCTGGGCCTTGGTTCACACTCCAGGATGGCTTTGAGGAGAGAGGAAGAGCAAAGGTGTAGCTTGGGGACAGAAGGGAGGAACTTCCAGTAGAGCGTGACAGCTCAGGCTGAGAAAGAAGGACAGACAGACAGATCCACACATACACACAGATCTCTGGCTAGCAAGCAATCAGTGCAGAGTCACCTCCCTAGTGGTTATCTGGGGGGATAAAGTCACACCACCTCCAGCGTCCCACCTCCATTCCTGGCCCTGACAGCCCTGTTTCATGGACGGCAGATGGACAGACAGTCAGGCATAAGAACCAGTGGTCCCTGTGTGATCCTGATCAAACCACTAACCCTATTAGGGCCTCAGTTTTCCCTCTTGTGAAAGGGGACAATGGTTCCTCCCTGTAAGGGGTGTTTGTGGGATGCAGTGAAATGACATAAAGACTCTGCGACCCTGCGAGCGTCTCTTGATTATTTTCCTGAAATTCCTTCCTGTTCTGCTGTTCATTAGGAACTGGGGGGGGGGGGGCGCTCAGTGTTTGTCCAGTTGCTGTGACTGAAATGCTCTGACCAGGGGCTGCAAAGACGGCCCCATGGTTAACATGCTTATGAACCTGCGAAGACTCAGGTTCAGTTTCCAGCACCCACACTGGGCAGCACATACCTGCCTGTAACTCCAGTTCCAGATATCTGATGCCCCGTTCTGGCCTCCTCAGGCACCTTGTACACATGGTGCGTATAAACTATTACAGATACACACAAATACACCCAATCAAAAAAATTTTTTAAAAAAACAGCCACTCTGACCAAAAGCAACCTGGGGAGGAAAGGGTTTATTTGGCTTATGCTTCCAGGTCACAGTCCATCTTTGAAAGAAGTCAGGACAGGAAATCAAGCAGGGCCTGAAGAAGAGGTCATGAAGGAACGCATTCTGCTGGCTTCACCGTTCACAGGCTTGTCCTTCCTTAGCTTTCTTGTAGAGCAGGACCTCTTGCCAAGGGAATGGTGTCTCCCACAGTGGACTGGACCCTCCTATATCAGCTAACAACCAAGGCAATCCCCCAGAGACATGTCCACAGGCCAATCTGATCAGGGTAACCCCTCAATTGAGGCTCCCTTCTCAGGAGACTCTAGGCTGTGTCAAGTTGACAGTAAGTGTCAACTTTTCTGATCTCCCCTTGTCTCCTCCCCTTCTGGGCTCACACACGGATGTAGCAGCTCTGTGATGGTGGCTGTATTAGCACTTTTCAGTTGCTGTGATTAAACACTATTGTGGGGAACTGGCTGGTCCTAGGCTTTCCCTGGGGCTCTGAAGTATGGAAAAGGAATATAGTTCCTTGTCTAACATCAGGAATATGCTGGGTAAAGTTAGTAATAGCCTGGGCCCAGGGCCTTGAGGAAGCTGTGATTTCAGACCCTGCAAACCCAACTCTTCCCACCAAGGGGCTGTGGTTTTCAGCCCTAAGGTGTCTATGTGCTCTGTCTATGACACACTTGAGGTCTGTGTCACTTTTGTGCAACATTACTTGATTAGCTTCCTGATGATGTCATCCCATCATATGGTAGCTTTCCTCTGACTCTCTCCCACTTACCCTCTAAAAACCATATACAAAATGCTGTACTTCTTAATGAATTTGCAGGGCATACGTTATCAGCTTATACAAGACCTCCTGGTCCCAGCTTTCCTATCATCTCTATTTTTCTCATTCCTGGTCCACCCTCTCAGGAACCTGCACTGAAGCCTGCTGGTCCAGGTCACACCATGACCAGGGCAACTTATGAAAGGAAGGGTTTATTTGGGGTTACTGTCCCAGAGGTTTAGAGTCCACCGACAGAGAAGCATGGCAGCATGCAGCAGGATGGAACAGGATGCTGCAAGCTCACAGTTTGGTTCACAAGCAGGAAGCAGAGAGGGGGAACTCAGAGGAAGGTAGGGTCTTAGGCTCTCAAACCCACCCCCTGTGACGTACTTCCTCCAGTAAGGCCACATATCCTAACCTGTCCCAAACAGCACTACCAACTGCATACCAAGTGTTCAGATGCCTGAGACATTAGGGGACACCTCATTCAAGCCACTACAGGGGCCTTTTCAGTGAGGCTTCCTTGTGAATTTTAAGGTACATGGTACTGAAATCAAGGTCTGAGTTCAAATCCCCAGTCCAGCCCTTCATCTCAGTGTGACCACAATGAGTTGCTGTCCCTCTCTGATGCTGTGTCCTCTCCTGGACAGGAGGATGATGAAGGTTGAACCCACTGTATAGCACCTTCTAGTGCAAGGTGTGCAAGGGCAAGGGCATGTGCATGTCAGTTAATGAGCAAAGCTCAATATCTAGAGAGGCAGGGCAGGCAGGAAAAGGGAGTCAAATAGCTCTGGCCTCAGTCTGAGAGTGACTGAGTGATGAGAAGGCATAGTGCAGTTGCACACACAGCAGACCCTCATGCAGGGTCAGACACTATGGTGCAGGAGGCAGGACATGCTTGGGTCCTTCAGGGAGGGGAGTGTGGAGATCCTGCAAGCTCAGCACACTTGGTCCGGCTTCATGGAGGAGTTTGCTCTGTGAACCTGGAGCACAGGATGGAGGCAGGTGATGGTGATGCCTGCAGGAAACAGGAGATGTGATGCCTGCAGGATACAGGAGATGTGATGCCTGCAGGATACAGGAGATGTGATGCCTGCAGGATACAGGAGATGTGATGCCTGCAGGATACAGGAGATGTGATGCCTGCAGGATACAGGAGATGTGATGCCTGCAGGATACAGGAGATGTGATGCCTGCAGGATACAGGAGATGTGATGCCTGCAGGAGGCAGGAGATGTGATGCCTGCAGGAGGCAGGAGATGTGATGCCTGCAGGAGGCAGGAGATGTGATGCCTGCAGGAGGCAGGAGATGTGATGCCTGCAGGAGGGAGGAGATGTGATGTCTGCAGGATACAGGAGATGTGATGCCTGCAGGAGGGAGGAGATGTGATATCTGCAGGATACAGGAGATGTGATGCCTGCAGGATACAGGAGATGTGATGCCTGCAGGAGGCAGGAGATGTGATGCCTGCAGGAGGGAGGAGATGTGATGCCTGCAGGAGGCAGGAGATGTGATGCCTGCAGGATACAGGAGATGTGATGCCTGCAGGAGGCAGGAGATGTGATGCCTGCAGGAGGGAGGAGATGTGATGCCTGCAGGAGGCAGGAGATGTGATGCCTGCAGGAGGCAGGAGATGTGATGCCTGCAGGAGGCAGGAGATGTGATGCCTGCAGGATACAGGAGATGTGATGCCTGCAGGATACAGGAGATGTGATGCCTGCAGGACACAGGAGATGTGATGCCTGCAGGAGGCAGGAGATGTGATGCCTGCAGGACACAGGAGATGTGATGCCTGCAGGATACAGGAGATGTGATGCCTGCAGGATACAGGAGATGTGATGCCTGCAGGAGGCAGGAGATGTGATGCCTGCAGGATACAGGAGATGTGATGCCTGCAGGAGGCAGGAGATGTGATGCCTGCAGGAGGCAGGAGATGTGATGCCTGCAGGATACAGGAGATGTGATGTCTGCAGGATACAGGAGATGTGATGCCTGCAGGATACAGGAGATGTGATGCCTGCAGGATACAGGAGATGTGATGTCTGCAGGATACAGGAGATGTGATGCCTGCAGGAGGGAGGAGATGTGATGCCTGCAGGATACAGGAGATGTGATGCCTGCAGGATACAGGAGATGTGATGCCTGCAGGAGGCAGGAGATGTGATGCCTGCAGGAGGAAGGAGATGTGATGTCTGCAGGATACAGGAGATGTGATGCCTGCAGGAGGCAGGAGATGTGATGCCTGCAGGATACAGGAGATGTGATGCCTGCAGGAGGGAGGAGATGTGATGCCTGCAGGAGGCAGGAGATGTGAAGCCTGCAGAGGTTTTAGGGGTGTGAGTACAGAGACAGCAGAGGCTGATGCCCCTTGGAACCTTGGGAAGGCTGCCCCCGAATTTGGTATATGGACAAAGAAGGCCAGGGACAAGCCCTAGATAGTGGGTGCATGGAGGTCTTCAGTGAAAGAGAGGTTTAACAGGAGATTGTGGCAGTGATTTCCCACTTGTGTGGTCAGGCTAGGGGTTTCTGTAAGCCAGCAATGCATGAGAGCCGTTCACTCTAATGCCTATCCACTTGGGAACTCCACTGGAGGGGCACTGGAACTGAGGAGTGGCTATGGACACTCATGTCCTCAGCTCCTATGGCCTCAGTGGCTTCTGAGGCTCTTTTCTCAAAACCCCAGTGTAGATGTATCCAACCTTCTTATTAAATAAGAAACACAGAACCAGCCGGGCGGTGGTGGCGCACGCCTTTAATCCCAGCACTCGGGAGGCAGAGCCAGGTGGATCTCTGTGAGTTCGAGGCCAGCCTGGGCTACCAAGCGAGTCCCAGGAAAGGCGCAAAGCTACACAGAGAAACCCTGTCTCGAAAAACAAAAAACAAAACAAAACAAAACAAAAAAAAGAAACACAGAACCAATGCAAAGAAGAAAGCCAAGAGGTCAGAGCTAATAGCTAAAACCTTACCCTTCCTCCTGCGGTGGTCCTACCTCTCCGAACCAGAGCTACCCCTGTGTTAAAGTCTTTATATAGAGTTCCTGTCCTGCCTTCTCATTGGTTGTAAACCCAACCACATGACTGCCTCCTCACGGCCTGTCTGTATAGGCCTCCAGGTTTTCCATGATTGGTATTAAGATTAAAGGCATGTGTATCCAATAATGGCTGTATCCCTGAACACACAGAGACTTACCCAGCTCTGCCTACCAAGTGCTGGAATTACAAGCGTATGCCACCACTGCCCTGCTTTCCTATGGCTTGCTAATAGCTCTGACCCCCGGGCAACTTTATTTATTAACATACAAATAACATTTTAATACAAATAAAATATCACCATATTTCCCCTTTTCTATTTTAATAAAAAGGAAAAAAAAAGAAAAAGCTTATAACTAATATAAGAAAAACTATATACAATATATAAATATATAAAGTACAATAACTATATACAATATATACAAATAATAAATACCTAAACAATGTCTAGTCCATTTGTATTTGACAAATTCAGAGAAAATAATTTCATTATCTATCCTATTTTGGTAAGTCCAAAATGTATCCTAATTAATCTTCAACTATAACTAACTAACCTTCAACTATAACTAACTAATCTTCAACTCCCTCAGAGACCCAAGAAGGAAATAATATTAGCTAACAAAAATAAAAACAGGAAGTGCATGCAAGCAACTTCCAAAAAATTTGTGAGTTGACAGAAACAGCCAGCTGTCTGGACAGTCACCTGAGGTTTCTCCACAGTGCTGGGGCATCATCTTCAGCCTATAGGCTTAGCATATCTGACAGACTCATTTGTGAAGTAGGATGTACACAAGGTCAACAGTTCAACCTCACATTGAGTGAGAGTAGTCCATGTACCAGAAACACC